TTCGTATTCTCCAATAAACATCATAAAACTTTAATATTTTTACTACTGAGATTTGATTAATTTGCTTATCAAGATTGTAAATCATTTTTAATTTAAAAATAACATATTCATATTCAACAATTTATTATAATTTAAGTTGATGTTCGGTATTAATTATATAAAACTCTATTTGAGAATAAAAGGATATATAATTATAAAGGTTCTAAATTAATTACAGTTATCAAACCTTTATAAAATCACTCTTTAATTAAGGGTAAGCAAATTTACTGTCATAATTAATTTTAAGAAAGTTCAAAACTCCTAAACTAAAATATATTACAAATACTTTTAGACATATAGGTTCTGTAAAAAAGATAAAAGAAATTATCATTTATAAAATCATGATTTGAATTACTCAGAGATATAGATTATAGAATTATTAAATAAATTTTAAATAATTCTCTTTGATGGACTAAAAAAGAAGATATGAGTATAATATATTTAGCCTAAATGATTGAAAATTAAAAATAAAGCACTTTTTACAGTTTTAAAAAATTAAATAAATTTACATTTATAAATTGTTACCTAAGATGATAAATTATAATGAAAAATAAGATATTTTTATAAATCATACTTGTCTATATATATTTAGGCAATTATAAACAAAAATAACAATATATTGCCAATAGTATTTATTAAGCATTATTATTAACAAAATACAAATGTTTTCGATTCATTTACTTTTTTTCCATAGTATATATGTAAATCAGACGCGAATTTGTATAGCTTTAGGAGAATTTCAAATTAACTAAAAATTGATAATTTGACTATTTGGAAATGCCAGAATTTAATTAATCCATAAGTCTATAGTTGTTAAAATGGAATGGATTAAATCAACGTAAATTAGTAATGCTATGAAATTGGAGTTTAAATTGTAAATATATAACCTCATTTTTAAATCTATAAAATAATCATTCATTCTAAAAATACAAACTATAAATATACATAGATATATATTTTTACAGAGATTTATAACTTGGAGACAATATGGTTATAATGATTGATTCATAATAAATTGGGTAAAAATTGAATACATTTTTCCTTTTTTAAATACAACCATTAGAAAAATCTTATTAGTGCATAACTTATAATTAGTATTAAATACGTAAGACAATTTATACACAGCTTAATCACAATTCAATGAATCTAAAATTAGTATTAAAAAGTACACTAATTAACAGTTTTGATAGTGAATCTTATCTATTTAGAAATTTATTAATATATAATAATACATGTTTTAACACATATAAAATTAGTGAGAATAACCAATAATAATGTACATCATGATATAATATTATTCCTGTGATTTCTGAAACAAGTACTCCTTGTTCAAAGTAGATTGATTAAAATTTTCTATTAATTCAAAATGGATGCGTTGTTTAATGTCCAGATGGATATAGCTATGATAAAGATAAAGTTTGATATTCAAATTAAATTATTAATTATCTTAATTTTATAAGAATTATTAACTTATAATGATTCATAACTAATACAGATCAGATCAAAAAGGGACATCAAATTTCTGGCAATTTTAAACCATCAGCTATGTTATTAAGATTAACCCTTTCTTTACAATTATTTGGTAATAACTATGCGAGATAATAATTTATAAATGGAAATTATATTGCTTTAATTAATCGATTTAAGATAAAATCAAAATTAACATATGTCTACTTATAGAAATGTCCAATTAGATTATTATTTAATTAGATATTCCAATTAAGTAAGTAGCATTTGTTAATGAAATTTATATATACTAGAAAAAATAATTGCATATTGTTCCAGGAGTTAAGATTTACATAATTTAACAAATATATATATATATTAAATTTCTAAATAGATAAACTATATAAAATTTAGTTTGTGCCTTAATAAAGGCTACTCCTTATTTAATGGGGAATGTTGTTATGATTTCCCTTATCCAACTTCCACATCAGGTTACTCTTTTATTGATCTAAAAGTAAGTTAAGTAGAAAATTTGGAATAAGTATTATTGGTAAAAGAATTTTATGATCTTTTAACTACTAAAGAGAGAATATGTGAATAATTTACATTTTTAGTTGATGATACCCTGATTAATTAATATAATTTAAAAAAGGGGATGATATATACTTTTCATATTTTTGTAAATAGTAGATTTTAATTGATTAAACATATTCTTCCATTGTGATAATAATTTTATAAATGCGAATACAAAATTTTGTGGAATTTAAAATTTATTTATTTATTTTATTTAGTTTGTAATATAAGAGTAGAGTGATTCAGAAGATGATTTTGAGATATTTATATGTGGAGATTCTTTAATCAATAAATAAGAAGAATAATATGTGATAATCCATATGAATAAGGATGTATTGATTATCAAAATGATTTATTAGTTTGGCATTTTAATGGAACTATTTTTTAATGATAATAGATTACTTAATGAAAATTATATTAGAGTTATCAAATTTAATATTTAACCTAATGAATAAATAATACTATCAGAAGATTAATTAAAATAATCATAATTAATTGCTAATTTACAATAATCATTTAATATCTGTAAGTTGGTTAAATAATTTCTATTTTTTAAATGTTCATTATCATTTTAATGTAGAAATGTACTATATAAATTCAGATTGGCCATCCTTAGTAGCTCTTCCTACTTATTAAGGCTTTAATTAACCTGATTGTCCTTATTATTTTACGGCTCATTAGAAATTTTTAAATAAAGGAATAGATTCACTGTCTTTCAATAATATCTTAAATGCCTTTTATTTTTTATTACCCATATTTCTATTATATCAATTCAATTTCTTAACGAAAGACTTTATAGATTTAAGTTTAATAAACAAAAGAAAATGAATAAATGATACACTATTTTAAATTAATTATTATAAATGATATGTTAAAATCTATTTTTATTTACTTAATTCAAACACCATTGTTGGTTTGAATTAGTTCTTTGCTATAATATCTATCAACATAATTTTGTATAAAACTTTATCAGTATTATAGAACATTAGACATACATATATTACTTGCTGAAAATAAATAATATAAAGAAAAATTTGAGATTTATGAATAAATTCATATTAATTCAATTTTATTATGAACATGTCGAAACTAAAGAATCATTCGGGTACTATTTTAAGTTTTTTGGTTTGATTAGAAAAAAATTATAAATATTTTTTATGGTAAATTATTATTACCCACTATTTTAAACATCATTATGTTTTGTATCATCTTTAATTGGAATAGTATTTATTTTTGATTAAAATCCTTATAATTCTAAGATAGAATTTAATATTTTACTTATTTCAGAATTCAGTTTCAGTATAATATTATTAATAGCTGTGCTATTTTCAATTATTTCTTAATTATACATAATGTTAATAATTAAAAAAAAACAACCATTAGAAAATATCAAAGATGACTAAAGATAAGATAAAATTAATTAATTAGATAAACTATAAATAAATTAAAAGTAATAAAATAATAGAAATCTTGTATAATTGAATTATTAATATTATTTAATTAATTATTCATATATCTTTTATATATCTTAATTTTGAATTCTAAGTATTTATCTATAACAAATTTATTAATAAAATAAATTATATAGGGAGTAAAAGATATTAATCATAATGCATTTTTTTAATGTAAACATTTAAGTTTGACTTTTAAATAGAATGTCTTAGCTCTAAATGATTCCAATTTT